CGTTTTTGGCGCGAGAAAAACGTAGGGTTCGGGGGAGTTCCAAGAACAGAGTTCAGAAGGCCGGGATGTAGTGGTCGCGATCTACGTCCAGGTGGGGGCCAGGTGGGGGGTATGGGTCGTTTTTGGGCGACAAATCGTAGGGCCCGGGGGTCCCAAGAACACAGCCCAGAGGCCTGGGGATGTCGTGGGGGGGTGGTGGCCAGGTGTGGGCCAGGTGGGGGGCAGGTGAGGGGCGTTGGTCGTTTTTGAGCGAGAAGTCGTGGGGTTGGGGGTCCCAAGAACAGAGCCCAGAGGCCTGGGGAGGAGGGGGGCGTTGGTCGTTTTTGGGCGAGAAATCGTGGGGTCAGGGGTCCCAAGAACAGAGCCCAGAGGCTTGGGGGTGTCGGGGCCAGGTGGGGGCCAGGTGGGGGGCGTTGGTCGTTATTGGGCGAGAAATCGTGGCGTCAAGGGTCCCAAGAACAGAGCTCAGAGGCCTGGGAGTGTCGGGGCCAGGTGGGGGCCAGGTGAGGGGGGGGGGGTGGCGTTGGTCGTTTTTGAGCGAGAACTCGTGGGGTCGGGGTTCCGAAGAACAGAGCCCAGAGGCTTGGGAGTGTCGGGGCCAGGTTGGGCCAGGTGCGGGGCCTTGGTCGTTGTTGGGCGAGAAATCGTGGGGTCGGGGACCCCAAGAACAGAGCCCAGAGGCTTGGGGGTGTCGGGGCCAGGTGGGGGCCAGGTGGGGGGCGTTGGTCGTTTTTGGGCGAGAAATCGTGGGGTGGGGGAGTCCCAAGAACAGAGCCCAGAGCCTTGGGGGTGTCGGGGCCAGGTGGAGGGGGGGGGGGACGTTGGTCGTTTTTGGGCGAGAAATCGTGGGGTCGGGGGTTCCAAGAACAGAGCCCAGAGGCTTGAGGGTGTCGGGGCCAGGTGGGGGCCGGGTGGGGGAGGGGGGGGGGCGTGGGTCGTGTTTGGGCGAGACATCGTGGGTTCGGGGGTCGGGGGCGTGGTGGGGAGTGTGGTTGGGGGTATCGGTCGGTTTTGGGCGAGAAGTGGTGTGGTGGGGGAAGGGGGGGCCCAAGAACAAAGGTTCCAAGGGAGAGAGCCAGGAGGGGGGTATCGGTCGGTGGCTGCTTGAAAGGAGAACCTCACGATGAATGGCTCTAGCACACACTCTCCCTCACACGCCTCTGGGGTCGGCGGATTTCTACTTCTCATCGTGCTCGCGCTTGTTCCATTCATGCACTCGCACATCCCACTCCGGCTTGATCCTCCCCCCCCGCCTTCTTGTATTTCCTGTGCTAGCCCAGTTAGCGAGCATGCTCCTACTCCTGCTCATTCCCTCGCTGATCTCGTCCCTCCTCTTATCCTCAGTCTTCGAACCTTGCTTCGCACCGAGAGTCGTGTCTCTTGTGTACCGAGGCGACGCCGTCGTTGCTTACCCTCCCTGTAAAATTCAATGCCAGTGGTTCCGTCTCACCCATCAGGCACAGTGCGAAGTCTATGTTTTCCTTTCAGCATGATCATTTTGTCGTCGACGTTGCAAACTGTGCAGTTGGAGAGGGACGTGCGCGTGCGAGAAAGCGAAGTGTAGTTCGCTCCCCAGCGTCGCGCAGGCTTTAGTGAACGTTGCGCTCCAGCTTGGGGCGCGGCGCATGCGTTCGTCCGCCAGGTCCGTCAGAAACGTTGCCATGCGCGAGATGTCGACACCCTATGATGGTCCAAGCGACGCGCGGCCTTTTCCTTAAATTCACGTTCCCGTGATAGCTCGGCACACACGTCTCGATCGCCAACCTTGTTCTGCGCTTGGCAGCGCGCCAGCGATCGGAATGTTGGTCTTGCCTCAAGTCCCAGATTCAGCCCCCAAGGTCGCGTTCCCGATTGGGCGCGGCGCATCGTTTCTTTCGCCAGGTCGTCGGGAGTGGGGGCGCGCGCGCGAGCGGCTTCCCTAGGCTGCAGCACGCCAGGCCAATTTTCCAGTTGTGCCAGCATTGTTTGTTGTGCTGAGTGGGCGGGACCCGCTGGCTCGTTCGAGCTGGCTAGCTTGACTCCTGTTCCTAAGCCTGTGCTCGTTCTCGCTCCTGCTCCTGCTCGTGCTCTCGCACACCTGACCCCTCCCCTCTTTGACAGAGGGACTCTCCTCCGCTTCGCCGAGGCAAGGACTTCGTCGCGTTCCTGCGAGGCCACCGCCCCCCTTGCGCTCCACTGAGGGAGGGGGTCGTTCCCTGCCAGCTCACGGACGGATGGACGGACGCGCCCAGCCTCTTCGTTCAGAGTTGAAGTTTCAGGGCGGAATCTCAATTCCAAGGGGTGGGAGTTCTGATGTCCGTCGGATTCGATGGGGGGTTCCACAGAAAGCTTGATTCAAGGGCTCGTGCCACGGGAATTCTTGACAGGGCGATTGAGCGTACACGCCGAGATTCAGCTGTGTATGTTTGAGTGCGTGTGGGGGCGTGGGATGACGAGAATGCAGCAGCATGTTTAAGCGACGCATGTTGACCATCGCAATTTCGTTTCTTTGGTGCCAACGATCGTGCTAAGCCTATGTCAGCTAGCGTGGGCCTAAACTGTGTGTTTCTAGCTGTGCATGTTTTGCAGCTTATGTGGAGCAGTATATGTGGCGCAACGTATGCTGTGTAGTCTATGTTGTGCAGTGTCTGTAGTACGATACATGAGGTACAAGCTGTGTTGTACAACCTATGTGGAGCACGATGTTCTGCAGTCGATGGTGTTCAATATATGTTGTGCAATGCATGGTGAGTGGTGTGCAATCTATGTGGTGCGATCTATGTTGTGCATCACATGTGGAGAAACCCATGTTGTGTACTGTGCATGTGTACATATACACATATATCTATGGTACAGCCTATGTTGTGCAATTGAGTACCCTGCACCGCGCTTGACCACCTCCACAGCTCGCGCAAACATCCCACCCACCCACCCGCAACTTGGTTTGCAAAATCTCTTAAGACCGTGACGGTGGGTACCAAATGGCATTTGGCAACGACAGCGACGCCGACGACGACAGCGACAACGACGACGACGACGCCGACGACGTCTCCAACGACTTCGACGACGCCGGCAACGACGACGACGACAACACCGACGACGACGACGACGCCGAAGCCGACGACGACGACGACGACGATGACAACGACGACGACGATGACGACGCCGACGACGACGACGACACCGACGACGACGACGACGACGTCAACGACGCCGACGGCGACGACGACGACGACGACGGCGGCGACGACGACGACGCCGACGTCGACGACGACGAAGACGATGACAACGCCGACGCCGCCGACGACGACGGCGAAGACGACGACGACGTCGCCAACGAAGACGACGACGAGGGAGGAGGGAGGACGACGACGGCGACAACGACGACAACGACGACAACGACGACAACGACGAGGGAGGAGGGAGGACGGCGACGACGCGAGCGACGAAGAAGGAGGAAGGACGGCGACGCCGACGACGACAACGACGAGGGATGAGGGAAGACGACGACGACGACGACAACGACGACGACGACGACGACGGCGACGAAATAGCAGGGACGACGACGAGACGCCGACGACGGACGACGACGACGACGAGGGAGGAGGAGGAAGGACAACCACGGCGACAACGACGACGGAAACGACCACGACGCCAAAGAGTACGACGACGACGACGAACACGAGGAAAGACAGAGGACGACGTAGGCGACGACGACGACGACGCGGGAGGAGGGAGGACGGCGACGACGACGACGACGCAAGAGCGCGCGCGCACGCTTTTGTCGAACATCCGTGTTGCGAAACCTTGTGTTTTTGTAGGTTTTTTGGACACGCGATTTTGACATCCTTCCGAAACCGATGGGTTTTGAAGGATTTCGGCATACGCGCGCGACGACGCGCGCGTCTGCACTTTGTCCAGTTTGTTGCAGAGGATTCTCGCGACGGCACACGCGCCAGGGCCTTCGACAGATTTCGACATGCGCGCGCGCGAAGCCCGTTTGGTAGCTTTTTGTGAACATCTTGAAAAACCTATGATTTTTCGTAAGATTTCGCAAGAGCTCGCGCGTAAGCTGTTTTAGCAAATCAGTGTTGCGACACCCTATGTTTTTGTATGTGTTTTTTTGGGGGAGACTCGATTGCGAAATTCTTCCGACACCGAAGGTTTTTGAAGGATTTAGAAATGCGCGCGCGACGACGCGCGCGTGTGCCCTTCGTCCCATTTTTGCAAGGGACTCGTGAACAAGTGTTAGGTTAGAACAACAACTGTCCCCGCGCATCATTTTTCGCAATGGAACCACAGGGGGGGCGATCCTGGCCCCTCTGGGATAGTGTAAGTTCATAGTTCGGATGGACATGTGGTCAGAACCGTACATGATTTACAAACCCCCCGAAAAGGAGGGGCGGATAACGGCGGGGGGGTAGAGTCTATTCATTTTAAAGAAAGGAAAATATAGGTTGTGCAATATTTGTCACGCAACCCATGTGGTGCACTGCGTGTGGTGCAATATGTGTGGTGTGCAGTGCATGCGGTGCAGTCGACGTGATGGAATCTAAATGGCCCATCATATGTATATATGCAAATACATATACATATACATATACATATCCACATACATATACACATACATATACATATAGATATACAAATACATATACATATACATATACATATACATTTACATATACATATACATATACATATACATATACACATACACATACACATACACATACATACATATACATATACATATACATATACATATACATATACATATACATATACATACACATACACATACACATACACATACACATACACATACACATACACATACACATACACATACACATACACACATACACATACACATACACATACACATACACATACACATACACGTACACGTACACATACACATACACATATACATATACATATACATATACACATATATAGATTTAGGCATGTATACACATACACATAATGGCGTACCAGGTCCGGGGGCCTGGGCCTGGGCACTCGACCCCAATTGCGGGCAGAGGCGTTTGGAGCATCTTTTCGGGCACAAGAGAGCCCTAAGAAGAGCCAAAGGTAGCAGCCACGACCTAATTCAAGGGTAGATCTTGTCCTAAGCTGCTCCCAGATGGCCCCAAGTGGCCCAAGAGACGCTCCGAGAGGCCTCTCAAGGTGACTGCGAGACGACCCTAGAAGGCGAAAAGTGTTTATTTTCTTTGGGTCGTTGTTGGTTTTCGTTGCATTGGCTTTCCAATTCTTTCGACGGGCCACAGACGGCCCAAGAATGGCCGTAAACCACCACAGGGCGTCCCAAAGAAGGCCTTGGAGCGCCCCAAGACGGCCCGAGAGGAGACCAAGACGGCTCAAGAGGGCCCCCAGACGGCCCCAAGAAGGGCCAAAGAGAGGGAGACCGAACCCGCATTTCGAGGTTTCCGCCCAAGATGCCCTCATATCGCCCCAAGAGGTCCAGAGGAGGCCCCAGAGAGGCCTCAAGATGCCTGCCAAAGTGGCCCCGACGCGACTCCATGAGGCAAAACATGCCATTGTCCTTGGGTTGTCGTAGGTTTTCTTTGTCATTGCGTTTCCGTGCGCCCGGCGCATCACAGACGGCTCTAGACGGGCCTCACACTTCCACAAGACGTCCCAAAGACAGGCTCAGAGGCGCCTAAGGCGGCCCGAGAGGAGACCAAGACGGCTCAAGAGGCCACCAGACGGCCTCAAGAAGATCCAATGAGGAGGAGCACGAACGGCCATTTCGAGGTTACCGCCCCCAGAAAGCCACATATACCCCAAGACGGACCCAAGCAAGACCAGAGAGGGGAAACACGAACCAACACTGCGAGGTTGCCGCCCCAAGAACGCCCAAGATGGCGCCAGGAGGACCAATAGAGGCCCGAAGAGGCCTCGCAAACAGTGTCCTGAACCTCCACAGAACGTCCCAAAGACGATTCAAGAGGGTCCTCCTAAGGTGGCCCGAGAGGCCTGATGGGGCCCATTTGGACCCCGTGCGGGCTTGTTTGTTGAGTCTCCCTGGAAGCCCCGGCGGCTTCTCGGAGATTTTCTGTTAGCCAGCTCTGGGCCACGCATGAAGACACACTAGAGCTTCTGGATCGTCAGAGTGAGGGGGCCGAGCGGTCATTCATTGTCTCTGGGTGCGTGGCTGAAGTGGGGATCTGGGTGAGAATACTGCTTGTTGCGTTGTTGCGCTGTTGTTGTTGTTGTTGTTGTTGTTGTTGTTGTTGTTGTTGTTGTTCTTGTTGTTTGTTGAACTCTCATTCAGAAGAATATTGTTTGTGGATTCCCCTCACCGGTGCATTCTGTTTTTTTCTCAATTGAAGTGTGCCCCTCGACGCTCGCACTTTGTTTTTTTGTGAGGGAAAGTCTTGAGGCTCAAGCTGGGCCCCTGGCCCCCGGATTACAACAACAACAACAGCTCCCGCTTGAGACTTCCGCACAATTTAGCCAGGACCCCCGCTCCCGCCTGAGCCGTCCTCGCATTTTATTCAGGAATCGCGCTCTGGCTTGGGACGTCTTTACAATTTCTTCAGGAATCGCTCTCCCGGCGTTCTGGAGTCGCGCTCTCGCTGGAGACTTGCTTGCAATTTACTGAAGAATAGCGCCCTTGCGTTGGAATTTCTTGCAATTTGATCAAGCGCCGCGCTCCCGACACCCAGGTACCCAGGAGTCGCGCCCGTTGTGGCCCCATGTGCATGCCCTTCGTGGCGGGCCCCCCAATTGTGCCGACCCTAGGATTGTCCCCGTTCCCTCCACTCACCTCCGACTGCTGCTCAGGTTCGGTTTCTTTTAAGGGGGGAAATGCCTATGCGGGAAGGTGTGCCGTACTCACGAGCCACGCCAGAGTCCGTTCTCTTTCAAACACAGTACCGCTCGGATGCTGCGGCGCAGCCGCGGCTCGTCTTTGACAGTACCCTACACACGGACGAAGGTATTATCTTTTCATTCCCCCTTTTTCAAGGCCTGATTCCCTTTCCGTGCGCCTGTGGCGGTAGTCCGTCGTGGAGACCGAGGCGGCTGCCAATGCTGCTTGCTGCTCTCTCCCTTTTCTTTTCCTTTTCTGTGCGTCCCACCCCGTATAGGCATCAACCATGTTTTCCTACGTGGCCCAGTTGCTACCCTCAGTGGCCCCATCGT